TGATGTAAATTGCATCTAATAGGTAGATGACTCATGGCTGTGCTGAGCTGACAGCATTGCATCCTAAAGGCACATACGAGCAGGTTGGAAGCAAAGGCATAATAAACAGGGCTTATCTCCATTTCCCCCTTCATGTGACAGTTTTCTTCTCAGTGCTAGGCTACAGAAGTCCTGGGATGCCACTCTTTGCTCTGGTCACTTGTATCACGGTTGCAGTGGCCTTAACAAATTGTCCTAGCTATTGCTCCCAACGTAGACTTTTGAACACAAGCCAAGTAAATCCTTTTTGATTTCCAAACAATATTAAGGCGCTTGTTTAAAAAGCAATAATTTAACATGCTTCATTGCTTTTCTTGCAAACACTACTTATTTTAAGTCTGTAATATGAAGTTTTATTGCATAGGCCAGGATTGCAGAGTTGCAGCTGGTTATTGATAACGCTGCTCTCCATTATAGACCAGCAAGTCTTGCTTTTTCCCTTAACGTTGTCATTGCAACGACAATCACCATATGGCGGTGCCAAGGGTTGAGGGCTAAGGGTGAGGGCAGATTTGATCATTTAGCAGGATTTTAAGGACTCGTGTAGGCTTTTTATAATAGGAACAAGCCATTAAGATACAGTTCCTGTAGTTTCCCCCCACCCCTGCCCTGTTGAAAAATTAATTGTGGGGAGTGTGGGAACACTGCACTCGTAACTGGGGAGCATCATCTCATTGCCTTCCTGTACACCCAAGTCTCTTGTAGCTGGATGCTTGGTTGTAATTTTGTTGGATCGGGGATCAGTTTTGGTTATATAGCATCTAATGCTTATGGTCCAGCCCTAACCTGGAGGCATTAATGTGATGTAACTGGTACACTAGCATTTGGTCGCACTGGGAAGCTAAACCAGTTTGGAATGCAGATGAGGAGGGATTTCTGCCCTGCTGTGAAACCTTTTAGGCCTGATGTGGAGGATCCAGCTTTGCACGGGAGCAAGTCCAAACCCTTCTTCCCACTCTGGTTGTGAAGTAGGAGGTAAATAAAAACATAATTGTTGTTTTGCGGAAAGGCTTTTCTAGGCTTTAGCAGAGAAGAAGATGACAGCTATGGAGCGGGAATGTCCAGCACTACGGTAGCCTTTGTTAAGCTACTGGCGAGAAAGAGTTTACTCCAGCCTTCTGTAACTTCATTGAAAATGTGATTATAATTACTGTTTACGCTACAGCCTAAAGCTGCTTCCTGTTTCCAGTATAGTAATTATGCCAGAGGCACACCATTTATTCCAAGTGTATCAGCCCAGGATATGATCATTACCACATTAATAGGAAGTACCTTCAAATTGTTACACTTGGCAATAACTATATCCTGGAGTAACAAACTTCTTGCCATTCAGCTTGTGAGTTTATAAGCATTTCCTGATGAGAATAAACAGGAAAGCACCGTTTCTCTGTCCCCTGCCCCATTGCTTTAAATGCAATTAATTAATTGTAAAGATGGTTTTAAAGGAGGACCTAATTTGAAGATACTGCTGGTGACACCAACATATGCTAAAGAAAGGGATGTGTGTTCACCCAGTGTTACTGCTGCTCGATGTTCACCGCTGCTGTTGCAGTGGGCAACACAATGCCAATATACTGGGGTGAGGAATGGGAAAGCTGGAAGTTGCTGGTGGTACAGTAACTCTGAAATGGAGTCAGTGTCCCCAAACAGCTTGCTGCCGATCCGTTTTGCAGCTCCGGGGTGGAGTATACCACGCTGGGGTGAGTAATGGCCTTTTCAGAGGGTTGGTCACCGGGAGGAAATGCCACATCAAGTGGTGATTTAATTCTGCAGCTTGACTTGGATATTTGGCAGTGGCTGTTGTTGGCCTCCTGGATTTCTTATTGTAGCAACGATTTGCTTTAATTTCTTGAACCAGCTTGAAGCACCATATTTACTGACTTTTGTTTACAATGAGAAAATATGTAAATTTTAATTAATCCAAGCTGAAGTTAAAAAGAAAACAAGCCTCTGCATTGGAGGGGGTTAAGGGACTGGAGTCCTTTGGCTCTTTTTTCCTATGGGATTCAATCTGAGTGCTTGTTTTACTACTTCTTGCGCTCCAAGCCTGTCCAGCTTGCTCTGTTATCTTAGGATGGTCTGGTGGTATTGAATGTGTGCTGCTTTCTGGCCACTGTTGCTACATCAGTGAAACCTGCCTGAGTGTTTTTTGGACTCTGAAGTGCACGATGGTTGAGACTTCATCCTAGTTCTGCTTAAAAACTTCCCTGGCACTTCCTTCATTGAGTGTGGTCTGCTTCAGGGGCTCGGTGAGCCGCACACGCCATCGTGCCGGCAGGGGAAGTTTGGAAAGGCTGTACGATACCGCACGGTCCAGCTTACTGGGGAAACGCTCCAGCATCCTGGGCTGCCTTGGAATACAAATGGAAGAGGAAATTACTGTTACTTGCGTCCATCTTCAGTAAGAGGAACAATAACTTCAACAGGCAACCTCGGTGCATGGTATTCCTTTCCCCATAACCTGGAACTGGCAGGCAGCTTTGAAAGGGCCTCGTGCGTCCTGGCTGTCACAGGAGAACAGACTGTCTGGATAAACATTTCCAGTAGGTTTGGAGAGTTTCCTGAACACCCTCTGTTCCCTCTGAAGTAGTGCTGGTGCAAGGGGGGATTCCTGGAGATGGCTGCACCTGTGCCAAGCACATTTTGTGCCATGTGAGCCAGCTCCTTATCTAGGAAGCAGCAGACTTGGGCGCTGCGCTCTCATGGCTCCACGTGCTCATGGGATTGGATCCCAAAGGCATCTTCTGCGTAAATATTGGCAGGGAGCTTTTCCATTCCCTCACTGTTATGGACTCTGAATGCTTTGTGGGGGTGCAGGGGTCAGGTTTGTATCTCTCAGGGCAATTAACTCCCTACAACTCTGATTGTATTGGATTTGGCCAATGGATGCTAAGGAGAGGGGTAGTATAGCTACGTGCTTAATGTTGTATTTAATCCCTTCAGGTCCCTCTGTATACTTAAGAGTCTCCATCCACTGCAGTGCTGATGCTTTCTTTTCTGCAATGGCAGCAGCTGTTAATTGCAGGAAGAAAACAGAATAATGCTGCTTGGAGAGAAAGCTGACTCGCCCCTAAATGCATGTTCATGTATTTGGCCAGTGTAAAATGAGCGGGACTGGAGCTGACTGGCAGCGATTGTTTTACATTTGTCTATTTATTCCAGCATCACTGTCACAGCTTCTTACTGCTTTGAATCCTATTCTGCTATTAAATCAGCTTCTCAAGGCTGTCTCACCGTACAACTTAAGTGTTTCCATATAGATGTATCCAAGTGTTCTTGATCATTAAAGCAAATTAATATTTTCCTGTACTTGCTCTTACACTTGTGCTTCACACAGGGATTAGGCTCCAAGGTGGTCACTGCTAGCGAGAGGTGTTCATTTGGCAGGACTTGAAATACTTGTTTGAAGGCTAAAGGCTGCTGTCAGCTGTGGTTTGCTGTTAAAGTAATCTTTAGTGGGACTGTCTTATGGACAGTCCTTGTTCACTTTCGTTCTGCTGTGTGCTGGGGGAAAGCCTTGCCATGCCAATGTCCTAGACTGGCTATTGGGAAGAATCTAACAAATGCTAATGCTGGAGAGGATGTGTTTAAAATTGTCCTGGCGTGGAACTGGCAGCGGCCCAGGCTCTTCTTCAGAAGAGCAAAGCCAGGAAGGAGATTACCAGGGCCTGACGGGGCTCTTTGGCCAGGCCAGCATGCCAGTTGTGCTTTCATGATGCACGAGGGAGGAAAGAAAAAATAGCTTTTGACTTTTTTTTTTGTGTGAAAGGATTTGGAATATTTACGGAAGGCAGTGGAGGGAGAATCTGCTTGTTTGGGGTTTTTTGTTTGTTTGTTTCCCTTTTTTCCTTTCCTCTTCTGTGCAGGTGGTTGCCATTAAGGTGAGGTGTGTTGTGAATTGCTATCTATTCACTGGCATCTGTTCCCCGGGCAGTTGCTTTGCTTTTAGCCTTTCTTGAGACAGCACCTACACGTGCTCCGGGTCTGCATGGTTTCCCAGCCAGTGTAAGCTTAGCAGCCATGCTGATGAATGCAGGTGTCAACTATAAAGGTGCTTCTCTTGGCTTTGTGTGGAGAGTAGCCTGTGAAAATAAGCTGTAAAAGCTTCATTTAAAGCATGTTTGGAGTGAAAGTAGCATTCCTCTCGAGTATGGAGAAGTGCTGCTACTAACCTAACAAACCAGAGCTTCTTTGGGGTAGAAAGGGGATAGTACAATAACTTTCATAGCACATGCTGGATGTTCTTCTGTGTTTGTTGACTTTAGTCGAAAAAAAAAAAAAATCAGGGAGACTTTTTCACTAAAGTTGAGACTTTACGGGACAGTTGAGTGGCCCCACTTTCCTATTCTCACCATCTCTGTTGTACCAGCTCTGCTCACCTGACCCTTGGTAGTGTGGTTCAGTTCATTAAGCCACGAGCAACCAACGTTTTTCTTCTGTCTGGACTTTCACCAGTGAATGGGCTAAACTTGATTTCCTGAGGAAGCATGTGAACTCGTCCAGGGCTGGAAAGCAGTGAGACTTGGGGCTGGGAAAGAATAGAATACATTCAGCGGTGGTGAGACTAGATCAACTTGCCATCTCTCAAAGTCTTCCCCCCTAAAAGGGTACATGAGTATCAGACCAGTGCTAGGTTCTGTTTTCACATTTTTAGCTAACTTAAGAACCTGGGACAAACCACTTTACCTGCATTTTTGAGGGTATCTTCTGATAAGTTTTTCATTTTTTTTTTCTGTGCATAGTACTTAAAATGCTACTAGCTATAACTCATACAAATACCACTTAGTGTCTGTCTGCTGAAGTTACAATTGGTGTTAAGTCCCTACTGTTTCTGTATGATTGGAAGCAGAAGGTGCTAATGCAAGAAACAAAATATAAGAAATAATAACCTTTTATGTGTTTTTGTTGGTTGACAGAAAGATTTAATGACTTCCACTTACTATTGCTTTATCTTTCTGCAGGGATGTGAAAGCAGGAAATATTCTTCTTGGAGAAGATGGCTCAGTGCAAATTGCAGGTAACTTTCCTGGTAGCTTTGAATAAACCTTAGGCCTAACTGTGTGTCCAAAGAGATGGTTTAATGATCAAGAAGAAACCTACATAACAATGTTAGCTTCAGGAAGCCCCACAGTTCTTGAAACAAACAAACAATACCAAAAAACCCAACAATAAACAAACCACAAACCGAAACAAAAAAACAACCCAGAGTTTATTACATCTTGTTATCCTGAAATACTGTTTTTTGGAATAGACAGTCGGCATGAATAAATCCTTTGACTGTTAAATCCTCAGAATCAATAGATTAGATAAAATTCTTGGCATAAGCTAGATTTTTAAAACAGCAAGTTCATAGGCTTGGAAGTGGACTGCACAGACCTCACTGATTTATCATCGATGTGTGAGGTGGTTTTCAAAAGGACTGTGGTGAACAGTGGGTAGATTCATCAGAAGGGAATTGGTATGTCTGATGGTAAAAGTCACTCGCAACTTTGCCTTAACCAAAGATCTGCTGGTCAAACTGCTCATGTGGATGCTCCCTAGTCTGCTTCAGTTGAACTGAGTGGCAGAGTGCATGTTTGACTGCCCTAACCCAGGCCAAACTGGGGTGAACTGAAAGTCTTGGAATCAGTTGTGCAAGCTGAGGGACAGGGTAGGGAAGACTGTTAAGACAGTTGCTTTAGCTAATACAGATGTGCCTAGAAGAGATGTCTGTTGTAGTCACTGCTGTCACAAGCTGCATCAACACAGGTATGTTGGAAACAGTCCTTGGTGCGGATGGATCATATGTCTGTGGAAAAGGGTGTTGTGTAGTGTGTATGGGTTCCCCCCCAATACTACTCTTCTGGTCTTCTATTTCATACATGTTCCTACAGACTTCACTCTTCTTTCCAGAAATCAAGAATTATTATCATCATTATTATTATTATTGACTATTAAGTACGACAAGATTTTTGGAAAGTACATTTAGAACCTGTGAGACTTGTTTTTCCTCTTCTTCCTAGTGTGCTGTTTTCCTATCCTGGGTACGATTCCTCTCTGGTTGTCCTTTTGCTCAGGACTGTGCTCTTCCCATGAATCTTGTGCCACCTCTAGCTGGAGAGCAGAGCTCACATCAGATCCTGCCATCTTAGCATCCTTGTACATGTTTTAACTTTTTCAGTCCCATATTTAGAGCTCTATCTGTTTGTGATAAGGTCTCTTTTTTAGTGCCCTGTCCTGCTGGTGGAGGCACTGCAGTGGGTTAAGCCAGTGTGCTGGGAGTTGAGGGACAGGGCTTTGCAGCTGTGTGGCAATGACTGTTGTGTCAGGCAGAAATGCTGTTGCATTGTGTAGTGTTGAGAGGTGCGGACTCCTTTGGTATATCTATGCGTGGATTTGCACCTTGGAATGAAAGGTGTAGATTTTCCACCAGGAGGCAGAACGTATTGCAATGCACAGTTTTTTGTAGGTAGCTCTTCTCCCTCTGCAGAAGGCAATAAGCCCTTTTACAGGACATAATCGGAAGTCCTGTATTTTAGGTGTTAAAACCTGAAATTGCTTTGTTTTCCCTTTTAAGGGCTCTTAATGCCTGCTGTTATATTTCTAATGAGGTGTAAATAATTCATCCTGTGTAGCAGCTGATGGAAGGTAGGGAGTGGCTTCTAAAATGCCCAAAGGAGCAAACTTTATCCAGTGAAATCCTACAGCTTTTTTCGTAATGCGGTCAAGATGTGACATTTTGGATTTGTAATTGTATGGAGCTTTAGATTATGTTCTGGGAGATGCTACAAAGAGCTGTTGCATTGGAGTGATGCACTGTTATTCCCAGTGTTTGTGGCAGCCTAGCAGAAAGCTGCTTGTGTTTCTCTTCCACAAGAGTGCCAGGGCTTGGCTGCTTTTGTTATTAAGGCTTACTGGTAATAGGTACCTGTTAATGTGGTTTTTTTTTTTCTGCTGAATAATTTTTAGTTGATAAGTAGTTTTAAGGTTGACTAGTCCTACCTGTACGAATTTCAGAGGATTTACTTTGTCTGTGATTTGTACATGTTCCCCTGGACTGAACTGTCTACTGGTGGTTTATATGTGCAACATTTAAGTGATGAAATCCATCTCCCTGCATATCCTGCGAAAGCAACATTGCGAGATGTGCAAAGTTCCCTCTTTACAAATTCTTTCTTTGAATGTGCAAAAGGACTAATGCTGTAACCTTTCATGAGACACAGCAGAGCGACTAAACTCCACCAAGGTCAGCAAGTTCGCCACAGTGGCAGGACGCACTTTCGTTTCTGCGAAGGCAGCTGATGGCTTGAAAGAAACAAAAATAAATGAATGACTGAATACTAGAGAAGAGCCTGACCTGGTCATAACACGAGATTTTGTTTCTGTGGGAATTTCTGACACTTAAGCTTCCTTTCTTCCTGACCCAAGATGAAATAGCAAAATTTCTCGTGAATTTTTTGAGGAGGAAAAAATGCTGGAAGCAAACCAATCCCAATAAAGTGAGTTTTGTTTCAGCAAGATCAAAGCACTTGCCTTTGACAATAATATTAATGCATATTATGAATAATTCTGCTGATCATTGAGTGCTTCAATTATCAGCTGGATGACATCACTGCGTTCCCATGAAACAAACTTGTCTAAGTTTCGCTGGAAAGTTACACCATGAGGAAAAAAAAGGATTGATCAGCTGTGGAATGAAGCCCGAGGGTTAGAGTGAATGGGGCACCTCCCTTGAAGGAGCTGGTTTGGTGTACATAAAAAATGCAAATAATGTAGCAGGAAAGAATGACTTCAATTCTTTTATAATGAGTCCTTTCCCTTTTGCCATCCCTCTACGAAAACTGCCTGTGAATAGTTGTTAAGAAGATCTTACTCAATATTTGGCCTTTGCAACCTTGTGTTCTTGTGTGTTTCCTACTGCTTGACACAATTTGTGTTTCTTGTCTCAGAAGAAATGTAAATCTTAAATGTAAATGTAAGGAATGTAAATCTCAAACTGGAAACCCTTTGAGGGGAGAAAAAAAAAAGGTTTAGAAAAAAATGCTTGACCCTTGTGGTGGAGGAAACCTCACTGCTGGGCTATACCTCCACAACATATCAGTGAATTTAATTACTCGGGAAACTTTCACTGTATAGAATTCATGGCAATAATTTTGCTGCAGGATTATACAGTTCTAACCAGTGAAAACTAAAGTCTCTTTTATTAGTTCGGGCTGTGCAATTCTGTTAAGACTGAACAGAAAAAGCAACTTGATGAAGGTGTGTCTGACGCTTCTCAGGTTCTGTTTGTAACTCCGAATTGGTGGCTGTGGATCGGATGTGAAAGCTGCTGTGGGAGCACTGCGAGCTGAGGCAGGCACAGGTAAAGCGACAGAGGAGAAATCTGTGAGCTTGGGGGCGTTTGCTGGAAGTAGAAATTCTAAAAATTCCTCTAATGGCCTGCACGAACACCCAGCTTCAAACTCCTCCCCAAGTCCTGTGACTTCGTATTTTGTATTTTTACTCATGGCTCTATTTTTAACTATGTAGCTCCTTTTGCTTTCAAAACGTACATCCACTGAACAAAGGCATAAAATTGCCTTTAACAGATCTATCTGACCAGTGAGACCTAAAGTGAGGCTGTTTGCTTCTATCTTAACATCTTTTTTTTTTTTTTTTTCCTTTCTTCCCCCAAGGGCACTGGCCTGGGGTTGTGGCTTGGCACCAAGTTTTTAGAGCCTGTTACAATTCACAGTATCGCTTTTTCAGTTTGAAGTGTTTTCGTGCACATTGAATTAATCTATCTTCTGGCA